TGTAAATAAAAATTCGATGACGAGGAACCCACTTTGAGACTGATAATGGTTGGAGATGGCTTGAATGGGTATGATGGGAATCTGATGATGACAAAACCTTGTCGAAACGTTGTATATTTGCTGTTATGTTAAACTTATATTAAAGTTTTTCTTCTCCATTCAAGCCGTCTCCAACCATTATCAATGTAAATAAAAGTTAAATATGAAAAGTAACATCCAAAGAGGCAGTTAAAGATGATTTACAAAATTAGGCATATTACAAAAAAGTAAATGAAAAGATCCAAGTATTAATGGATTTCTGGCTTTCTAACTTAAATGTAACAATCAGCATGATTTCAAACAAAGTGAATAATACAGAAGTTGAGTGTGTTATATTAAAACATCTTATTGGTACAGTCCATGTTGACATGTCTGGTCATGTTGTATCTGATGACTTTCATATTAACAATAGCCCTGCAGCATAATTTCCATTGTAAGGCTGCCATATCCAAAGCACATGCTGTTTTTGGGTAAGACTTCTATAATTCACCTAGTCAATTTCCATGCTCTTGTTTCAACAGTTCAATTCTAGATCTGATGACTTGCATGATCTCGTATAAAATAGTCTGAATACCCATTTCATTTTCCGGTTGCTTGAGTTATGTGATGGTTGAATAGGTGGTATGCCTGGAAGTATCTTGGTGAACCCAAACTGTGTTGGCATAGTTTCGTCTTTGATAATGTACATTTAAAAATAAGCTATGGGATGAGTGTGGTTCTGTCATTTACAATGTTAAAAGGTATCTTTGGGAATCATACAAGACTTTTTCTTTATAAATATTAGAAATAGGAAAAAATATTATGTGACTAAGTTACATCTCTTTAATATTCCTCTATAATTATAATCAACAAAAATAATTCTTACATTGCAGAAAAACAATCCTTAATGCTTGAATATTAGAAATGTATAAATTTTGTGAATATCTACTACTTTTCAAACATGGGTTTATACTTTTGAGCAAAAAAGTTTTTTTTAATAGAAAACGCAATGAAGTATGCTTACTGAGCATTAATGTTAGATGTTTTTGTGATGTATGAAAAAAAATAAACGATTTAGCTCTAATTAGTCTTTTCTATATTATAATAGTAATGTTTGCAATATTCTTGCTTCTGTAAACTGTGTCGTTGGTTAAACACACTAATTGATTTGTCCAAAAGAAAAACCCTCCATGGTTGGGATATTATTTGTTTTGGGTCTCTTTCTGGGTGATCCTGTTACCCCAAACTAATCCATATTTATTTTTTTTCCAGTGTCATTAAGTACAAGGAATATTACTGTCTTGGAAATTCTAAATTCCATATCTGAACACATCTTTGATCGGAGTGTATGAATACTTTGTGTTGGAAAGGGTTTTTCCATACTCTTCTCAGTTTTTGGTGGTATTACACTACCTAGGAAATGCCAAATAATGTGATAAAGTAGTTCTGATGAATATCGAACCACTGCAACTATATATGAGCTGTGGTAGTCACGTTTCATGATGATATGCATTTTAAAAACAATTTTAATATAATGAATTTAACCCTTTGAACTTTAACCTCAGAAGGTTAATGATACTGTAATTTTACTGAAACAAAAAATAAGAATGAAGTTGTTCTCGGCAAGCTATGGGCTACTAAGCATGATAGTTGGGAAGAAACGCACCCCTAACTTAACTATATACTTAACATATACAGCATTTGTATGTAAAGTGTGGGAATGAACATGGTTGAAATCTGCTTACATTGAAGCATCCTTCTTCATTCTTGTCATTATGTACTATTATAGCAGAAATTTCAATTAACATAATGTTTTGAGACAACAATGGAGCTATTGGTCCATCTCAGCTGTCCCATCCTCTAAACTAAACTAAAACTATTAATAAATTAATTAATAAAAAATCTTAAAACTAGTCTTTATCATTAATATACTTATCAAGCTTTCTCTTAAACTCTCTTAAATTTACTGCCTCCACAAAATCCGAAGGCAACCCATTTCAGTGGCCAACCACCCTGTTAGAAAAATAAAACTGTCTTAGCTGAAGATGACTTCTGCTCTGCCAAAATTTATATTTGTGTTCCCAAGTCCTGCTATTCTCACTGTTAAGTATGAAAAAAGGTATGCATCAACACTATCAATTCCCTTTACAATCTTAAACACCTCAATCAGATTGCCCCTAACTCTTCATTTATCAAGAGAAGACAGTTTGAGAGATCTTAACTTCTCCTCATATGGCAACTCCTTCATCCCAGGCACCATTCTATTAACCTTCTTCAGAACCACTTCCTACAATTCAATGTCTTTCCTAAGATAAGGAGCCCAAGATACAATACTCTAAATGTGGTCTAACCAGTGATCTATGCTTGTATTCAATATTTCTATACATACAACCTAAAATCCTATTTGCTGTACCACTGGTAACAGCACACTGCTTTGATGGCTTAACAGACTGATCAACTATTACAACAAGATCCCTTTCTTTCATGACACTGTTAATGTTATTCCCATCCATATTATACGTATAATTCAAATTATGATAACCCACATGCATTATCTTGCATTTATTATAATTAAAACCCATTTGCCATTTATTTGCTGAACTTGCTAAATTATCTAAATCCTTTTGTAAATCAGCAGCATCATCTTCACAGCTGGAAACACCCAAGACCTTAATATCATCTGCAAATTTAAGTAATTTATTGACCATTCTTTCATTTATATCATTGATATAAATCAAAAAGAGCAAAGGTTCTAAGCCTGAGCTCTGAGGTACCTCACTTACAACATTAATCCAGTTTGACTGAACTATATTTATAACAACCTTTTGCTTTCTTCCATCCAACCATGCATCTATCCAATTAGCTACAAGTCTTTTATGTGGCACCTTCTCATATGCTTACTCAAAATCCAGATACACCAAATTTACACTTTTACCCTCATCTACAGTAATCTTTTCAAAGATTGTCAAAAGATTTGTAAGGTAAGAATTTCCCTTAGTGGAACCATGTACTATCCAATAAAATGCTAAACTTTGTTAAATGGCTTGCAAAGCATCTTTTATGAGAAGTTTGAAAATTTTTCCCACAACTGATATAACACTAATAGGCCTATAATTACTGAGACAATTTTTATCTCCTCCCTTGAAAAGAAGAGTGACATTAGCTAACTTCCAATCCTCTTGTACCTGGCTACTGTTCCAGGACTTTCAAAAAATAGTAACAAGTGGCTTACAAATATAATCATTAACATTCTTCGAAACCATTGGGGAAATATTATCTGGCTCAGAAGCCTTACCATTCTTTAAACTTCCCAATTTTTTCTTAACCAACTCAGAATTAATGCAGACATCTTGTTTGATCTCATTTACATTTATCAACTGTTCAAGATGTGGAATACTGAAACCTTCGTTAGTAAAAACTGAAGAAAAAGCAAAATTTAATAACCCTGCCATCTCATAATCATCAGATACTAGCCTTCCTATATCATCCCTCAAGGGTCCTACCCCCATCCAAGTATTTTGTTTTACCCATAATGTATTTAAAGAAATATTTACTGTTAATTTTTACATTTTTGGTCAACCTTTTTCATACATCCTGTTTGATGTCCTAATTTCCTGTTTCACCAACTTTCTTGATCATCTATAATCTTCTATGTCTCCTGTCATACCAGTCAGTTTAAATTTCTTAAATTTTATCTCTTAAACTCTTTTTGAGCCAACCTGGTTTTTTTTACTTGCAGCTACCCTTTTCTTTCTATAAGGAATATGTTTACCTTGAATATATAGTATATATATATGAAGGTATTTAATTATTGTTTATCCAATTGTTACTATGTTTTGTTTCAAGGTAATATAAAAGGTAATTAATCAGCGTTTGTCCAGTTGTTACAATGTATTGTCTCAAGGTATGATATAGGTTCTATAAGTGCTTGCATGAAATAGTACTACCATTAAACAATAGTGGAAAGTATGAAATAATAATAATACATTAACATTACATTCTTTTAAATATCCTCATGAAAATGAAATCACGCAAATGTTTTTTTTTTGTATTCCAAAGTAAAGGTTAATGTGTAGTTTGGTGTGCTAATTGTAATTTATGTTAATGTGTAGCTCGGTGTGCTAATTGTAATTTATGTTAATGTGTAGCTTGGTGTGCTAATTGTAATTTATGTTAATGTGTAGCTCGGTGTGCTAATTGTAATTTATGTTAATGTGTAGCTTGGTATGCTAATTGTAATTTATGTTAATGTGTAGTTTGGTGTGCTAATTGTAATTTATGTTAATGTGTAGCTCGGTGTGCTAATTGTAATTTATGTTAATGTGTAGCTTGGTATGCTAATTGTAATTTATGTTAATGTGTAGCTCGGTGTGCTAATTGTAATTTATGTTAATGTGTAGCTTGGTATGCTAATTGTAATTTATGTTAATGTGTAGCTCGGTGTGCTAATTGTAATTTATGCAGTTGTCAAAATTACACTTCGTGATTCATCAATATTAAATGATAGAAGTATTATAGTTGACTTAATTTGTGTTTTTAAGTGCTGAATGTTTACAGATACTTTAGAATTATATTGCATGTAGTTAGCCCTGTTATCAACCAGTACATTTATTTCTTATAGAAATGAGAAAAGCTCACATGGTAAGAAGAAACATAAACTAAGTAATGTTTAAACTGTGTGTAAAATTACATTCTTAAACTGCATTGAAAAGATTTATTTATTAATAACTTTGTTCACAATTATTTTTTAAAACTTTTTTGATACCTTGATGATTTACTGTTGCTAGTTCTAACAGTTTTCGAAACCCTGCTTGAATTATTTCTTCTGATTGCATTTTGTTAAACTAATGGTTTAAACTTATCATAAGACATTAATATTAGACCTACTAGGTTTTTTAACACTACATTTTTTATTCAGTTGTCTATGGTTTTTATAATAGTATTTCAACTATGATGTGTCCACTATATATGTATAGCCAACGATGTGTTTTGCTCGTAGCTCATCAAACCAGATGGGGAACGTGAAATTCATTAGTGGTCAGAGTGCTATTAATGTTGTTTGTCAGAATGTTGCAGCTGTAAATATTAAGTCAGAAGTTTATTAAGAAGTTGTAATTCAATCCATTTAGAAATGAAAACTGTAGAAATCTTGAGCTATGTCTGTTTGAATAAGAAGTGTCTACTGGCATAGCATAGTAAAAACAGTTCTATGCTTTATGCTATTTCTAGAATCAAAACTATGTAAGGATTAAGTGGAGATGTAACATCAGAGAGAACCTTTGGAAACCTTATTTCTTCCAGTGTTTCTTATTGATGTTATATTTTTCTTGCACCAGTTTGTGATATATTAAACATTTTAGAGTTGCTACCCATGTTTTGATTTAAGCATTTATAATTCTTTTTCAGGCTATTTTACAAGCAGCACCTGTATCTCCAGCTTCAAGTACCACAGACACGTCCAGCAATGGGTCAAGTGGAAGTGACTTACCTCCTTCCAACAGAATGGCAGACCGTAAGCTGCCCACACTTTCATTCAGTAAACAATTAAAACTTTCTTTGAATCGATTGTAACTTAAGAGAGTTATCCCAGCATGCTAATGGGATAATTAAAATATTCAATTAATTTACCTCATAATGAAACATGTTTGTTGCAGGATTTGTTTTTACTGTTTTCCACTGACATACTGTATCAGTTTTTATAATATTTAGAATAATAAATTGGAAATTAATTGATTTTGAATGGCCTAAACCATTTAATGATGGAGTGCTAGTAACTAAAACAACAACAAGAAATCTTTTAGTAAGGCAGTTTAAGACAGTGAAATATATTATCCAAATATTCTATTTTTCCATATTATAGTAACGGTGATGGTTATTAAGTTATCAGGTTTACTTACATAAGTGGAGATGTAAAATAATACTATACCTGTTAGGTTTACGAGTCCCTTTGCTTCACCACACAGTAAACTAAATTAATTTAGGTGTGTGTATCATGGTAGAACAGTGCACCTAATTCATTATTCAATGTTATACAGTGGACCAACTGTTTAATGATTATATATATATGTATATGTTACAGGTTTCTTTTCTTTTCCACCAAATGTAAAATTGTAAATAGAATCTGTGACATAACGCCTAATACAGTCCTTGATCGGCTGTATACCCTCTGCTGTAGACTACTGTTTTGCCTATTCGAGGCTCATCAACACAGCTTGTCATCAAATGAAGGAAAACCTCTTATAATGGTGAAGTGTATACAATATCTATGGGTTTTTTTACCCTTTTAAATCACCATACAGTAACCTAAATTGATTTAGGCCTCCACATCACAGATTGTCTTTTCAATTTTGCCTTTGGTGAAAAATATTTGTAACATATATATGTATATACAAGGCTATAATACTGTTTTTATTTTGGAAAATGGGAAAGCCAACTAAAATAAGTACTGTACACTCCAAGGTCACATTAACAGCAGTTCAGACAAGATGAGGTAGATGGTGTTAAATCAACCAACTAAATTTCCCATCTTTGAAATATTTACGTTTTATTCTTATAATAAAACAGGCCTACACACATATACAATTAAAATTGAATAAATTAATTATTGTTTAGTGTGTTTGTAGCAGATGAGTTCTGTTTAAATATCATGTACGTGAGCAGCTGGAAAAGTAAAATGCTGTTAAAGAACTTGGGTACATATACAAACTGCTAGGACTGGAAGAAAGCTGTTTAGCCACATGCAAAATGAATTTTTGTGCAAGTCTTAAAGTTTGGTAATGAAGAACTAATACATTAAATATTTGTACTTACATTTTACAACTAAAGTATTCCAGTGGGTTTTTGAGGAAAACTGTATTGAAATTTTCCTATATTGCTTTAAAATTATCACAATAATATTTTTCATAATGTTTTGGTTGTTGTTAACTGATAACCAGTATGTTTATCATACATTATGATGGCCCCTGAGGAATGTGTTTTGTGAATTTTATAACTTCCATGTTCATTCTGAGATATCAAAATCTATGCAACTTAAAAACAGCAAAACTTGGAAACTCTTAAAGGTAAATTTATTTTGGCTAACAGAATTTTATTATGTGACAATATTATTATAAAGACATGTTTGTTTAAAACTGATTGTTCTAGAATAATCAGATAATCTTGATTAATCCTCTCCAGTAATTATTGATGTCATGTACAGATTAATCAGTGTTTTTCTGGTACATGTCCACCAACAGTTCATGTTGTTTTAAACATTTCACGAATGGAGAGGAGAGCCACCTAATGGCATGATTTATGTATTCTAACTTTTTTGTTGCCATAAAGCAGTTTATACTAAAAGTTTATTTGATTGTAAACCAATTGGCCACAACATTTATTTATACTTAAGAGTGCGTTATTTGAAACATAAATCACCATGGAACATTATAAGAAATACACTTCTTGAGTTTTCTTACAACCTTGAATCAAGAAACATGTCATAGTAAACTTTGATGAGAAAAAATGCTGGTATTTATTATTAGATAAATTGTTAAATTTGAAGAAAAGATATAGTTAAATCAAGAAGCTTAACTAATACTTTTACTTCATAAATTGTGATTTTATTTTAAAACATTGAAATCTTGTGGATTATTTTTCAAACGTGGTTATCAAGAGAATCTTTATTTTTTTATTTTCCTGGTTTTAATTTTTTTATCAAATTTCAAATTGAGACTTAAGTTGTGAATAAGCTGTAGGAACATTAAAATGCTTGCCAATAACAATTGTTTGATAGATTAACTTAACTTTCAAACAGACTTCTACAAGTATTTCAGATTAAAAAGAATGGCTTTATGGAGAATTGTGGGGGTAGAATTAAATTGTCACGTTTTTGTGAAGCCCAAAAATATATGATATAAAAATGGTTGGATGTGCAATGAAAATTTTTCAAATGTCTTAGATTTTTTGTACAGAAAATTAACTATACGATCATCATGGTTGGTACCAAAGTAAGAGATAAGAAAAAATCAGTTTCAAAATGTTTTTCAAAAATTTGTTGATTTGTTGTTACAAAAAAAAAAGGTCATTTGTTGAAGTTTAGAAATGTTTTGGCAAAATGTCTGACTTATGAGAGAAGCAGGATTAGAATTAGAAGTACAATCATAAAGTTACATTATTAAAAGTATAATTATGTAAGAAATTCCATATTCACTTAAGTAAACTATGATTTTATTCATTAGGACAGTTATTTTTGGTTTTAAACTTTCCAATACTATGTATCCAGAATTCATTAGGTATTTTTAATTTCACTGATTGGAAATAAAGCTGAAATATATACTTTTCATCATTAATTTTAAAGAATCCCTTGAGGATAAATGACTGTTAATGGTGTTATTAAAATTAGACCATCATGTCTGTGGATCAGCGAAAGATCTCCCTGGGTGGACAGAGGGCATATAGTCCATTGTATGGCTTTGCTCTAAAACAACAACAACAGCTTAAGACCAAATATTTTTCACTAGTTACAATGTGATTTTTAGCTTGTATATATATTTGTTACTTTCTTCTGAAAATGTACCCATGTAATAACTAAATTAATTCAATGGTACGCACACTCCACCACAATAACTAGTAGGATTTTCTAATTTAAAACCTAGCTATTGTAAATAGTCCAGGTTTATAAGTAGGAAGATCGTATTACAGAAAAGATCTTTATAAAATTACAGATTAGTATGGAAGAATGCCACTGTTTCTGTTAGATACATATTGTATATTAACAGGAATAAATATGTAGCAGTCTTAGTGTAACCCTCATCTGACAACATTATATCAGTTTGTATCAGGAAGGCAAAAAGGAAAAGTGGCCCAAACATTTTTTTTTAATCTAATCCATGGTTACCAGTTTTTATTTATATATTTCTTGGTTTCTTTATTGATTCCATGCCATTTGTTTACTTGATTCTTGTGTTTTATATATCTAGCTTTACACAAAGGTTTTACATATCTAGCTTTACACAAATGTTTTATATATCTAGCTTTACACACAGGTTTTACATATCTAGCTTTACACAAATGTTTTACATATCTAGCTTTACACAAAGGTTTACATATCTAGCTTTACACACAGGTTTTACATATCTAGCTTTACACAAAGGTTTTACATATCTAGCTTTACACACAGGTTTTACATATCTAGCTTTACACCCAGGTTTTACATATCTAGCTTTACACACAGGTTATTACACATCTAGCTTTCCATGCAGGTTTTTACACATCTAGCTTTACACGCAGGTTTTTACACATCTAGCTTTACACGCAGGTTTTATACATCTAGAATTACACACAGGTTTTACACATCTAGCTTTACACACAGGTTTTATACATCTAGAATTACACACAGGTTTTACACGTCTAGAATTACACACAGGTTTTAAGATTTTGTTCATTTGAAGAATGGGAAGATGTGATTTCTATTTCCAGTTGAATAAATTTTATTTTTTAAACATGTTGATACAGCACCACACACTTCTGAAACTTTTTGTGATTGGAACTTGTCATTCAGGTTAGAATTTAAGTTAGGATATGTAGGGTCAAATAGCATTAAAGAAAACCAGAAAAAATGTGAAAGCTTAGAAATTAAAAGATGTTTCAAATCATTTAACATTTTACACTGCAATTAGGAAAATGTCATATAACCCTATGACTAGTGCTGCACTTCTTAAATTCCTTTCTGCACATGTATTCAAAATGTAATGATACATTAATTAGCATTATCAGATACATTATAACTCAGAGTTTTATATCATACAAGATAACAGTCCTTTATTTCGAAAGAAACCTCAGAAACAAACAACAGTTTCTGTTGTCTTGTGATGTTGGGCAGTTGAAATATCTTAATAAATCTTCAGTTTCTGTTGTCTTGTGATGGTGGGCAGTTGAAATATCTTAATAAATCTTCGGTTTCTGTTGTCATGTGGTGGTGTGCAGTTGAAATATCTTAATAAATCTTCAGTTTCTGTTGTCATGTGGTGGTGTGCAGTTGAAATATCTTAATAAATCTTCAGTTTCTGTTGTCATGTGATGGTGTGCAGTTGAAACGTCTTAATAAATCTTCAGTTTCTGTTGTCATGTGGTGGTGTGCAGTTGAAATATCTTAATAAATCTTCAGTTTCTGTTGTCTTGTGATGGTGGGCAGTTGAACTATCTTAATAAATCTTCAGTTTCTGTTGTCTTGTGATGGTGGGCAGTTGAAATATCTTAATAAATCTTCAGTTTCTGTTGTCATGTGATGGTGTGCAGTTGAAATATCTTAATAAATCTTCAGTTTCTGCTGTCATGTGGTGGTGTGCAGTTGAAATATGTTAGAGTTGGTTGCTTATGTTTCTTTTCAGCTTACTCTCATTATCTCTATGACAGTCTAGACAAGCTTATATATGTGAAAGGTTAAATATTAAACATAAGTTTCATTTTTCAATGGCTAACATTCCAAGAAGGAACTTACTTCTTTCTCCCCAATGTTAGATATCACGCTCACAT